TTTGTAGGTATTTTTTTACATTGATGAAAGTCTTTTCTATTTATAATTAATTGAGAAGTTTTACTGGGAATGGGTATTGAATTTTGTGAAGTTTTTGTATATTAAATTTTTTTCTGTAATAGGGTGAAGAGCGCTGCTTAATTGCCAACTTTTATTATTATTGTTGTTGTGGTTTCTTTTTTGGACACAGTCAGCTCTGCTCAGGGCTGTTTCTTGGCTTTGTACTCAGGGATTACTTCTGATGGAGCTTAGGTGGTCATATGTGGTACTGAGGATTGAATCCAGGTCCACCACATGCAAGGCAAGCACCTTTCCCAACTATCACTTCAGTGCTAATTATCAATTTTTAAACCAACCTTGCATTCTTAAGATAAACCCACATCATCATTATCCATTATCCATTTTGTTTTCATCTTGGTAGCTTATTTCTTTCAAGGAATTGTCCAATTTATAATATAAAGTTATTCGTAATGTTTTAATTATTCACTTAATATTATTTCAGTGTCTACAGGATTTTTGTTTTCATTCATTTTTCATATTAATATATTTTCTAATAAATCGCGTTTATTTGATTTCTTTCATTTTTAAAATTTTGAATATCAGGATACACACATTATACATTATAGGTTATATAATAGCATACTTGTATATATAGCATTCTTTTTTCAAGATTATATTATTTCTTTTTCAAGATGATTATGTTTTCCAAACTATTTTTTGGATACTATCCTGAGCTATATTGACATTTATAAAGCTATACATGTATAATAAATACAACTTGATGAATTTGGGTCAGCACTTGTGAACCATCACCATCTTTACCTCCATGATTGAAAGATATATACTGAAGCTATCTATCCGCACCATGAGTTTCTATCTTCTTCATTTGTTTCTATTTTTGTGACAGTGTCTTTTGGCTGAAAGAGTAAGTACATGAGATACTCTTTGTGTAAATATTATTTAGCTAATATTTAGGCAAATGTTTACTCCTAGAACATGTATGCAAAAATAGTTTTATTGACTAGAATTATTGCTGTACAGCATATCTCTAGGACCCACCCATATTGCATAAGCAAAACTTCAATCCCTTTAACTAACTTTCCCTTCCCATCTCCTGTAGTCCCTGATAACCACTGTCCAAGGGTCTAGGGTAGCATGTGAATCATCAGCCACTATGAAAAACAGGCTGTCCATTCGTTAATACGTTTAAAGAATTTAAATTTGCCACTTCTGGATACATTGTCAAATGGATTTACATCAAGACTGTGAAGAGCTATCTGCACTTCATCTAATCTAGGATAGTTCCACCTATTCTTTTAGCTAGTTCATTAATCAATATTTAATCTTTTTTTAAAGAATCAGCTTTTGGTTTCACTGAATGTTCTATATTGTTTTTCTGTTTATTTGTTTATTTGCTTTTTTAAACTCTATTGAGTTCTACTCTTCTGTATTCCTTTATTTAGGTTTAATTTGTTCTTTCTTTTTTCTTAAGACAGAAACTGATCACTGGTTTCAAAATGTATCTTCCCCAGAGAAGCATTTAAAGCTAAAAAATCTTCTCAGAAGAACATTTATTTTAGAACATTTTATCACCTCAGAAATCAGGCTGCCTCTTAAACTCAAAAGCATTTTATGGTTATTAGTGTCCTCTCTTGTTTTCTTTAGTGATGCACACCATAATGATTTATCGTATTGCTGTCCTTGAATATGCAAAAAAAACCTCTAGTATACAATTGTTATGAAGGTTGCTTAACAAATAGTTCACTTGATCACTTGATCACCTGACATCCCATTACTCATCGATTTGCTCGGGCAGGCGCCAGTAACATCACCATTAGCCCTGTCGCATGCTAGTGTAGGATAATGGCATCTGCTCGCTCCAGGAACACAAATAGCCTCAAACCATTTGTTCATATATCTCAATTGAGTGAAGCATGATACTCCAAGCATAACTCTTTTGATTCCTCTTTGGATACCCGAATAGTGTTCTCATCCTGTTTGCAGAGGGCCCAGGTCTCTGAGGCGTATGTTAATGCAGGAAGAACAGTGGAATCAAGACATGTGCTGGAGCCGTAGGTTCTTCGTCCTCTTAGCTATTACTTTGATGCTCCTAAAGGGGTTCCAAGATGCTCTCTTCCTCCTGCGCAACTCAGGTGCCATGTTGTTCATCATGTTGAGTTCTCGACCTAAGTACACAAAACTGCTGCATTCGGAGATGTTCGTTCCGTTTAGAGCAAATGGAATGTCAGGAATGAGTCTTTTTTTCATGAACATTGTCTTCGTGAGATTCATTTGTAGTCAGACCTTTCCATACTCATGGTCGAAGTCATTTGTGCCGCTTGGCTAATGTTTGGTGTTATTAGAACGATGTCATCAGCGAAGCAGTGGTTGTGTAGTTCCTGACATCTATCTTCACTCCCATTCCTTCCCATTCCAGTCCATTCCCATGACATTCTTGAGGGTGGCACTAAAGAGTTTTGGTGAAATAGTATCACCCTGCCACACCCGTTTCTTTACGTCAATGATCACTTCCTTGTAGAATGGAGATTCTGGTAGTGAATCCTCAATACAGCTCACAGAGGATCCTGATGTATTGAGTTTGAACACCCTGTTTGGCTAGGGTTTCGATGACCGCTTCCATCTCAACAGAATCAAAGGCGTTCTTTAAATCAATGAACATTAGACACAGAGGCATCTTGAACTCCCGAAAAACCTCAGTGAGCCTGGTTACCGTGTGGATATGGTCAATTGTGCTGAATCCTTTTTGAAACCTTTTTACTTTAAAAAAAAAAAAGTAAACTAATAGTTACCCAGCAAAAATGCTGATCTAATATGCTATGCATTATAGCTGCTCTCTCCTTGCCATAAATCCATTTCTAAACTTTATAGAATGAATATCTGTCTTTTAGCTTTTTTGTGCTTTATTCCTAAAATTAAGAATCCCTTGAGAGCTATCTTAAAATCAGTCAGAGTATCTGGTAGATTGTTCAGAATACAAGACTGTATTCTGAATACAAGCCTTCTAAATTAAATATTAAAGGATATTAAAGACTATTTCAACACATAGCTTGAAAGGTGATCCAAACCAAAAGTTCTCCTGTCCATAATAAATTTGTATATAAAGAAATTTAAGCATATACACATTGGATATTTTTTGCCTTTTGTGGATAATTTTGCCTTCTATCAGACTCAGAGATGCAGTTTTATACTTTAAAATGACCACTTCTGTTAATCTAGACTTTTTCTGTCATTTTCTAATTTTTATTTGTTCATTCATGGATTACCTTTGAGTTTTCACTCCTAATTAAATGTGTACTATTTATACCACACACATCCTTCAATTTGTCTGCTTTCTTATTTATCTTTCCTTGAGGTATATTATCTCTTGACTTTTATTTTCCTTAACTGAATTAAATGGAGCATTAAAAACATTAATTTCAATCTTTCTTGATTTTTGCCTTAAACCCCTGTTGTTTTTACATGGTTAGCAGACAGCCTGGCAAGATAATATTTTAGTCTAGAATTCTGTAATACCTAATATTTACAATTTATTCCTGCTCTTGCATATCAGATAAAGATTTTAGCAGATTAAAGTTTGGGTTGTCTTTGGTGCTTTTTTGCCTGTTTCCTTTTTTTTTCCCATTACAGGGAAGTTGCAATATAAACAGATTTAACTTAAGCAGTAACTTTAGAATTCAACCCTCCCAGGGAAAAGAGACCCCAACTGTACTCTTCATTGTCTGTGCCACTGTTAAACAACCAAGGCTGCTTCTCACACTGCAAATTGTTTTCATCTGCCAGTAAACGTTTCTTTATTGCTTAGAAAGCTTCTGCATCTGGGGCTGGAGATAGAGAACAAGGAGTAGTACTTGCCTCTCAAGAGCCCACCTCTCTTTAGAGTTTTCTTTTTGTCTTGGGGGCCATGCCTGGCTGTGCTCAGGGCTTACTTGTGGCTCTGTGCTCGGGAGTCACTCTTGGTAGGCTCAGGGAAACATATGCCAGGTAGATGCCCTGCCTGCTGTACTGTCACTTTGCCCTCCAACACAGGTTTGATCCCCAGTATCCCATGTGGTCCCCCAAGCACTGCCAGAAGTAATTCATGGATGCTCAGCCAGTAGTCACCGCTGGCTCTTCGGCTTGAGTTATTGGAATGCTCCAGAAAATGTGACCTAAGCAATTAAATCTCATATAATAAGAAATTTATTTGTTTTGCCTTCCTCCATCCCCCTTTTTTGTTGGTGCCGGAATGAAACTGCACCTCACACACTCAAGGCATCTGTTCTACTGCTGAGTCATATCCCTGCACCCCTATTGAAGAATACTAAGAATACTAAACCCTAACTCTAATGGCCTAGTGATTTCTGGGTTTTGATTCATCCTTTAATATTGGAGAATGTCTATACCTCTGTAGCCATCATGTCCTATATAATATCTATTTGAAAGCTACTTTTTCTGCTGTGCTGTTGTGTGTGTGTGTGTGTGTGTGTGTTTCTCATCAAAGAGAAATGTAACATTCCCATTAACCCCATATATAATTCATCATGTATTTTCTTATTTGTTATTGTGTTTGTTGTGCTGTAGTAGAGTAGGGAGTCTGGGAAAGCAGGTAGAGAAAAGTCAAGACACTGAATCTTTCAACAGTATGAAGGAGATGCAAATTAATGGCTATTGACCCTGCACCTCTAGGAGGAAAAAAAGAGAAAAGAAGGAGAAAAGGAGGAATGGAGGGCAGGAGGTAGTGAGAGAATAAAAAAAGATGGATGGGGGAGAGATTGAGAGAGAGAAAGAGACAGAAACAGAGAAAGAGAGACAGAGATAGATTTTTTCTCTGTAATGAAAACTCTTTTCCATGAGAAGTTGTCCATAGTCTACTAGAAGAACTTTTGGATCACATACCATAGTTGAAGATGACGATAGCCTTGTGCTAAAATTGTTCTAATAACACAGTCAGAACTTTATAGTTTCTTTAAATCCTTTTTTGTGTGTGTGTGTGATTTCAGGTTGAGTCCAGAAATCTTTCTGAAGCGCCCAGTTGTTGAGGGAAATCGCTGGCGATTGGACTGTATTCTTAAACGAAAAGCAGTAAGTAATTTCTGAACAAATACTGAAATAATTTCTCTACTTTTTTGTGTTACTTCATATACTACTTAAAATATTTTCCTTGGGAATTTGGCAAAAAAAGCCATAATATCTACTAATTCAGAATCATTTGGTTCGGATTTGTTTTTTCTATTCATATTGAGTGTATAAATATTTTAAACTAATTTACAGGATGAATTCTATTAGTGGCTTTAATTTTTATGTTTTTACCCACTTATGGGCAGTTAATCTTCTAGGCAAAACAATTGAAATAAAATTTTGTTATCAACTAATAAATATTGAAATAAAATCTAGCACTCATTTTATTTATTGTTCTATCATTTGAGCAGAGGAAACTGTGATCCTGAGAATAATATCCCCCAGATGAGGCCAAGCTGATATTAGAGAATATAACAAAGTATTAAATATTTTTATTATATAATTATAGGAAGAGTTCACAGTAAACATATTTCCTTGTGTAATATAGATTTTGTCTACCAGATACATTCATTTCATTATAAAATTAAAGAAATTAATCAGTATAGCTTATCAACAACTGATTTAACCCATTTTTCTTCAAATTTTTTATTTATTTGACCTTTAACCAAGGTTGAATTATATTGAAAACGGTCACGGTCACGGTCACGGTCCTCCCGTTGTTCATCGATTTGCTCGAGCGGGCCCAGTAACGTCTCCATCGTGAGACTTCTTGTTACTGTGTTTGGCATATCGAATACGTCATGGGTAGCTTGCCAGGCTCTGCCGTGCGGGCGAGATACTCTCGGTAGCTTGCCGGGCTCTCCTAGAGGGGCAGAGGAATCGAACTCAGGTTGGCCATGTTGACTGCGTGCAAGGCAAACGCCCTACCGCTGTGCTATCGCTCCAGCCCATATATTTTTATATTAACATGTCTAAATTAGGGGATATTTTGTGTACCATTATGTCCAAATTCGAGAATAGCTTTCTTACTACTATTTAAGTCATTTTTTTATCTGTAGATAAGAACTCTTTAAATTTATAGATCATAAGTAATTGGAAGTAGTGCTTTTCTGTTTCTTATAACCTTCACTCATTTCTTCTTTCCTGTCCTCCATTCATCTTTTCTGATCTCTTTTTACACTCACCTAACCCTTCTTTCATTGTATTTCCCCCACAGCTTTAGAATTTCAATGTCATATCTTACTCCATGTAATGTAGTAAAATAATTTGATCACTAGTCCATCATGTTTTGCACATAGTGTCATTGTATTGCCTAGTCAATTCATTGATTGTCTCATCAGAAATTCCATCCACAGACTGGATATTCTAGTTCCAAAAGGCTTAATCACTTAATCACTTAACTTCCCATTAGTCGTCGATTTGCTCGAGCGGGCGCCAGTAACGTCTCCATTTGTCCCTGTCGCGTGCTAGTGTAGCCCAATGGCATCTGTTCGCTCCGGGAACATGAAGGGCCTCAAACCGATCGTTCATGATCTTGACGAAGAAGTCTGACCATCTGGAAGGTGGGCAGCCATGCGGTCTTTTGACATCCCGTGGAATCCAGTCGGTAACAGCTCTAGTCCAGCGGTCGTCTTTAAATCTCATTACGTGACAAGCCCATATGATTTTTGACACCTTGGCAAATGAGACAGCGTCCCTGATTCTTGATCATCGACAGATGTCAGAACTCTGGATTCTTTCTCTCATTTGAGTAAAACGTGATATTCCAAGCATAGCTCTTTCAATTCTTCTTTAGGAGACCTGAATAGCGTTCTCATCCTGTTTGCGTAGGGCCCAAGTCTCTGAGGCATATGTTAATGCAGGAAGAAGAGTGGAATCAAAGAGATGTGCCCCGAGCCGGAGGTTCTTCGTCCTCTTAGTTATTTCTTCGATGTTCTTGAAGGCGTTCCAAGCCGCTCTCTTCCTCCTGCGCAGCTTGGGTGCCAGGTCATTTGTCATGTTGACCTCTCGACCTAGGTACACATAGCTGTTGCATTCAGAGATGGTCGTTCCATTGAGAGCGAATGGGGCATCAGGAACGAGGCTGTTTCTCATAAACATTGTCTTCGTAAGATTCAGCTGTAGTCCTACCTTTCCACACTCACGGTCAAAGTCGGCCAGCATTTGTGCCGCTTGGCTGATGTTTGGTGTTATTAAAACAATGTCATCAGCAAAGCGGAGGTGGTGTAATTGCCGACCATCTAACTTCACTCCCATTCCTTCCCATTCCAGTCGTCGCATGATGTTCTCAAGGGTGGCACTGAAGAGTTTCGGTGAAATGGTATCACCCTGCCGAACCCCTCTCTTGACATCAATGATCACTTCTTTGTAGAATGGTGAGATCCTGGTAGTGAATCCGCAATACAGCTTACGGAGGATCCTGATGTATTGGGCTTGAATGCCCTGATTGGCTAGGGCTTCAATGACCGCTTCCTTCTCAACAGAATCAAAGGCCTTCTTTAAATCAATGAACGTTAAACAGAGCGGCATCTTGAACTCCCGAGAAACCTCAATGAGCTTGGTTATCGTGTGGATATGGTCAATGGTGCTGAATCCTTTGCGGAACCCGGCTTGCTCGCATGGTTGTCCTTCATCTAGTGTTCTGCCAATCCTATTTAGGATGACTTGAGTGAAAAACTTGTAGATGACATACAATAGGCAGATCGGGCGATAGTTGCCAATGTCATGGATGTCTCCCTTCTTGAACAGTAGTACGGTCCTGCTGGTTTTCCATTGGGATGGAACCTTGCATTCAGACAGGTAGCATGTGAAGAGCCGAGCCAGTGTATTGATGAGTGCTGACGGCAGGTTCTTCAGGTGTTCAGGTCTGACCTTGTCTGGGCCAGGTGCTGTTCGTTTCTTTACCAATGAAATGGCGTGTCAGATTTCGGAAGGGAGAACATTGGGAATGACATATCCATCCTGTGGAATTTGGTATGTCGGCAAGTGGACATGGCTATCAAAGAGATTTGAGTAGAAGTCATGGATAATCCTCTCCATTGCCGTTCTGGAGGATGTGATGGATCCATCAGGACGTCGGAGGGCAGTCATCTTGGTCTTGTAGTTGGCGAAGAACAGGCAGGCGTTACGAATACTTCTCCCAGCTTCTGCCGCATCTACCAGCACTTCTGCTCTTCTCTCTTTGAGGTCTTCCTTGATCGCATCTCTGCACTGCTTTGCAAGCTCGGACATTAGCTTGCGGTTGCCTGAGGCATGCGCCAAACCACGCTGGCGAATAAGCTCAAAAGTTTTCGAAGACAGGCATTTTTTTGTGGCTATCTCTCTCTTGGCGTTCCTCGCACATTCATGGAGGTGCTGAACCAGTATATCGTATTCTTCATCAATGTTATCAACAATGGCATCTTCCCATGTTGCCGCAATAGTGCCAAAGAGCTCCCAGTTGGTGGTCGTTCTGGGAGTTCTCTTTATAAACTTTGCAGCCCTTTCTCCCCGCTCTGTGAAGTAGAATTTTGCACGAAGGAGACGGTGGTCCGATCCCGTTCGGAATTTTGGGACAACAGCGACATCGGTCAGGCAAAACCGTCGATTGAATATGGACACAGATTCTCTGCTTGCTCCCACCAACCACAGTTGACAAAGGGATTCTAATCAGGAGCCCCACCCTACCCTGCCCTGTCTGCTTCCACCAACCACCCAGGGATCGAATTGCGCACAGAAGACCCACCCTTCCCCTACCGGGACCAGATAAATACCCCACTGGCAGACACTATGGACACTACTTCCACTACCCAGCCGCCACCACACTCCAGGATGCTTTCCGGACACATCATAAGACACTAAACACCCATTTTCTGGAATTGTCGTACCATATTTGATAGGGTTCAAATATGGTAACACCTACGAGGGCGATTAGAGGTCGCCCCCAAAGCCTCTATCCCTCTCAGAAAGACTGGAAAGCTACGGAGAGTATTCCGCCCGCACGGAAGAGCCTGGCAAGCTATCTGTTGTGTATTTGATATGCCAAAACCAGTAACTACAACTGGTCTCCTCCACCTGACCCTGAAGGCTTCACCGACATAGCAGCACTGAGAAGGATGAGAAAGGAGAGGCTGATAAAATCTCAAGGCCGAACTAGGCTGCCACAATGAAGGAACACAAAAATGATCGTCTGTACTTTCAATGCACGTACGCTAGCATCAGATGCATCCATCGAGGACCTGATGGTACAAGCTCGAATGATCAAGTACGACATCATTGGTCTGACCAAGACAAGAAGGCACGAATCTCACCATGCTGTTTTCGACACTGGAGAAGAATTGTTCCTCGAAACATGCGATAAAAGAGGTGTCGAAGGTGTCAGTGTCCTTGTGAACACAAACTTGGCCATGAGCATTGATTCATTCGAATGCCTAACAACCGGAATCGGACGTTTACATTTGAATAGATGTGGCTCACTGCCTGCAGTTTCTATCTTCGTTGTCTACGCACCAACATCTCATTATGATGAAAGAGAAATTGAGAAGTTCTACATGGAGCTGGAGAAGTTCTATAAAGAAGACCACACCTTCTACAAGATCATTGTGGGTGATTTTAATGCCAAGATAGGACCGAGAAGATCAGCTGAAGAACTTCACATCGGGACCCATGGCCTAGAATGGAACGAACAGGGTAAGAGACTGTCTGAGTTCATCATGTTGACCAAGACCATCCATGGTAACTCACAGCTCCAGAAGGCAGAATCTAAACGTTGGATATGGGAGTCTCCCGGTGGACGATTCCACAACTAAATAGACCACATCATATTCCAAAAGACATTATTTGCATATTTATTAAATAAGTCAGCATGTAGCTAGTGAGAATTCCCTATGAACCACTTGTGCTGCATTGGTTAAGGGTGTCACCTGCATTGAGAGGTGTCCAGCCCTGCTTATGGAGTTCTTGGTGTAGCACTTATGTTTGGCTCAGTCCTAGGATATGGGTTTGCTAGCACAAATTCCTGAATCTTTACTAACCTTCACTTTATGCCTTCCAGGTTTCTCTCTGTGAAATGATAACTCTCCCATTCTCCTCAAGATTCTATTTTAATAAGTTTCTCTAGTCTTACCTATCAGTCTACAGTCATCCTCCTCTCAGTTCTTAATTAATACTTTACTATTTTATTTTTTAATCAGCGTGCATTTGTTGAATTCTATTGGCAAAACACTTGGATAATAATATAGCGTATGTGTAATAAGAGGCACAGTCCTATTGAAGCAAGTTAAAGATCTGCACAGGAGTCTACTGAGTCTTGAAACAATATCTTGACCAAGGAGAAAAGCATATGGTGTATCAGCTGGGACAGCCTCTCAAAGTAACCAAAATTTAGGGCATTATAGATAGATAAACAATTTTTAAACATCAGGAAGTAGTCTCTAGGTTTAAGCAAATGTGCTGCGGAACTGTTCTGTTGTTGTCTTTGTTTGGTTATTATTTTTATCTGTTTAGCGGCCACATCCAGAAGTGTTCAGAGATTAACTTCTGGCTCTGTGCTCAGGGATAACCCTTGGTGGTGCTCAGGAGACCATAGCTATGTCAGGGACTGAATCAAAAGCAAATCTTGTACAAGGCAAACGGCTTAACTCCTATCCTATCTCTTCAGCTGCCCAAAGAATCCTTGTGGAGGCAGAAATTTGGATGTTTGTCAGTTGCAATGAGGTGATGGGCTGATTATGCCCGAGTTTTACCCTATCTGGAAAGGGTGCAGTGGCTTTGTGAACCAAGTCTGAGGTTGGGACTGTATGGAAGACAATAGGACTCTGTGGGGAGGTATGGTGGGTGGAGGGAAATCTGGTCTAAATGATGTGTGGGAGAGCATATTTGGTAATGGGAGTACACGACTTTGGTATGAGGTGCCCACAGGATATGTAAGTAAGCTCTAGACAGCTGGAAAATGCCTTCAGAGGGCTCGAGCAGGAGATTGGCATGTGCTTATGCATTCCTTTCAATGTACCCATCTACTTTCTTTTTCTATAATATCTTGACCTTTTTTTTTCTTTAATTGCCCACAAACCCTGGTGAGATGCCAGGGGAGCAGCAAGGCCAAATAAATCTGACTGTCTGATAATTGTGCTTCGTTTCAATTTTATTCACTTTCTGAATCTAGTAATTTTTAAATTGCTTATAGTGATTTAAATTTTTCCTAAGGAATTGGTAATACTATTAAATATTAATTTCTCAGTGGTACATTTCATATAATCTAGCTGTACACCATTATTATTTTGTCATGAATTTTTAACCTCATATCATTCCAGATTGACATTTCAAATGCTCATAAATACTGCTGCATATAAATAATTTAGTTCCAGAAAGCCACTGTCTTCACCAAGTACAGAATTAGAAGATATATTTATTCTTGCACTAATGAGTCTCAGAGGCCCACAGGTTGATTAAAATATGTGATTTTTTTTATTAGTTTGTGCATAATTTTTAGGGATTTATTGGTGCTGCCACATATGGGAGAACAGTCCCTCTGGTAATAACCAAATTAATAGTTTCCTATTGACCTGTGATGAAATATTGTTTATGCAGAAATATATGCAAATAGTGTCATTGTAGACACTATGTGAATAAAGGCCCTCCCGTTGATCGTCGATTTGCTCGAGCGGGCCCAGTAACGTCTCCATTGGAGACTTTGTTGTTACTGTGTCTGGCATATCGAATACTCTCGGTAGCTTGCCGGACTCTCCGAGAGGGGCGGAGGAATCGAACTTGGGTCGGCCATGTTGGCCGCTTGTAAGGCAAACGCCCTACCCGCTGTGAGAAAATATTCTATGAGGAATATGTGATAAAAATATGATTATGATATATTATATGAGGAATATGTGAGAAAATATAATTACCATAATCATATCCCTGTAGTTAATTTGTATATTTTAATCTTATATATATGTGATCTGTGTAACTAAACTGGCACTAAAGAAATCTTCAAGTGTAACTTCATGGAAAGTTACATAAAAATGTTAGTTCTCATGCTAGAAATCTAATTACAGACCAGTAGGAAAAGAGATTCAGGCTTGTCAACAAAAAACAAAGATCACACCTTGTCAAAGAAAATTTAAGCAGTATCTTGAATCAAAATAGTGAGTTGGAAGATTATAGAAAAGAAGAAAATATCTTCGGGACTGAGAAGTTGGGTGAAAGAGTTAGAATGCATGCTGCCCCTACACCACATGACACCATTGAGCACTGCTGACTGTGTCCAGATATGATTTGGATATTTTTGCTCTTAAATTCCTGTACAGTGGTAGGGTGCATGCCTTGCTCAGGATGCAATATCATGTCTTAGAAAGAAAAAGCAACTCCCTAGGGGTCAGAAGACTGGTTTCAATATCATGCTAAGTGAAATGAGTCAGAAACAGAGAGACAGACATAGAAAGATTGCATTCATTTGGGGTATATAAAGTACCAAAATAGGAGACTAACATCCAAGAGTAGCCGATATCAGTACCAGGAGGATTACTCCATGACTTGGAGGCCAGCCACACATGTTAGGGGAAAGGCAGCTCAGATAGAAAAGGGACCACCAAATAAAGGGTGCTGGGAGGATCCTCCCAACATAGGAGATGCATGCTGAAAGTACACTATAGACCGAACATGATTGCCACTCAATGCCTCTTTTGCAAACCACAGCACCCAAAAGGAGAGAGAGAACAAAAGGGAATGACCTGCCACAGAGACAGGGTGGGATTGGGGGGGACGTGGGGTGGGAGGGATGCTGGGATCCGTGGTGGTGGGAAATGGGCTTTGGTGGAAGGATGGGTACTTGATCATTGTATAACTGAAACCCAAGCACAAAAATTTGTAAGTCTACAACTGTACCTCATGGTGTTTCACTAATAAAAATTTTTAAAAAAGAACTTGACCTAAAAACAATTGTTTGGGAATATTCAAAGGAATGTGATCATTGGAGAGTTTCAGCAGTTGAAGTTATAGTTTCTACTTTCTATCATTGGTCAAACATTTACATTCTCTCTTGATATGACATGTCATAAAAAGAGAAGGGAAGTAATCTTTCCTGATACTTCTATCTTAATACTCACTTGCATTTCACCCCCATGCATTGTCTTTTTTAGGAAACGTTTTAAAGTACTTGCTGATAGGAGGGCATCCAGGAAGGGTGGTGCACAAAGAGGAAAGAAAAAGCATAAAACCATAACCCACCTCCTGAGAGTTTCATCCCTTTCTGTGTTTTCTCTTGTTACAGCAACAGGGTGTGAGAATCTTCGTAATGCTCTACAAAGAGGTGGAACTTGCTCTTGGAATCAACAGTGAATACAGCAAAAGGACTTTGATGCGTCTACACCCTAACATAAAGGTATTCAGGCTCATATCACTGGACAATATTTTTCTTTATTATTCTGCACAGCAGAACCTGGCAAGCTCCCCGTGACGTATTTGATATGCCAGACACAGTAACAACAAAGTCTCCAACGGAGACGTTACTGGGCCCGCTCGAGCAAATCGATGATCAACGGGAGGGCCTTTACCTTTACCTTACCTTATTCTGTAGTAGCTCTTTAGATATATTTTCCTCTGAGCATTGGTAATTTATAGAATTACCAATGTATATTTTTTAATAAATGGCACGATGTCCTCAGAAATAAAAAAAAAACACCCATATTATAACATTGGTGGAGTCAAATAGCTTGCATTTGACTCTTACACTGATAATTTAGCCAAAAAAACATGCTTTTAATAGTTTTAATATTCAACAGTTTTAATATTGATGGTCACATCTACACTCCTCATTAATATTATTCTGGAACCTCTTAGATATGATCTTCCTGTGACAGTCCTTGAACTCTGATAACAACAAAGAAAATTGCTCCAGATTTAAAAGTGTTCCTAGTAGCACCTCATTTGAATTACTAATAAAGCAATAAACATGATGAACAATTTGGAAAGACTCTTTGATATTTTACTAAAGACCTAAATCTTATCAATAACTATTTTCCAGTCATTGTGCTGCCTTGAGACTTAATGAATTAATAAATCCCCAGCAGGCTAAAGGATGTAATAGTTGTACAAAGGGCAGTGGGAGAAAAATTTTCCCCCAGAGATTGAGTTGTTGAATGACATTACTCCTAAAAATTATTTGAATAAATAATGCACTAAATTTCTATCAAGCATATACTATGTACAAGAAATTGTATTAAGGAAAAGATCCTATCTTAATTAACATACAACAAATAAGTGTTCACAAATACTTGGGAATACAAAATTGATCATATAGTAACTATAAAAATATGTAATGAATAACTACAAATAAGGGTAATTAATTTTTTAGGTTTCTTTAGTAATCTTTGTGATTTTTATTTGATACCCCATCTAATTCTACCATTGAATGGAATACCACTAATGGGCTGGAGCGATAGCACAGCGGCAGGACGTTTGCCTTGCATGTGGCTGGCTGGCTGATCCGGGTTCGATTCCTCCGCAATTCCTCTGCCCCTCTCGGAGAGCCGGGCAAGCTACCAAGAGTATCTCGCCCGCACGGCAGAGTCTGGCAAGCTCCCCGTGAAGTATTCAGTATTCGATATGCCAAATACAGTAACAATAAAGTCTCACAACGGAGATGGTACTGGGCCTGCTCGAGCAATCGATGAACAACGGGAGGACAGTGGACAGTGGATGGAGGGAACGAAAAAGAGGAATGCATATTCATGAAAGAACACGAGCTTCTCCAGAGTGGAACAATGCAGAAAGAGAGAGAAAAGCATTTAAGGGAGAACATGGGCTTGAAAGAACAAGCCTCTTGTATGCGATCTAAGGACTTTCTACAAACAAAAGAATATTTTAAAATGATAATTGGCTTTTCTATATGTCTTTTTATGACCTAAATAAATTTGAAAATTTTACATTTTATGTAGCATAATAAAAATTATTTGACACTGATACCGCATATGGATCCTAAAACCCTGCTAGAGTAAGCCCTGAGCACAGAGCCAAGAGTAAGCTCTGCAAACTAATATGTGTGGCCTAGAATTTTTTTTTCCTTTTTTTTATTTCTTTTTTTTCATTTAATCTTTTTTTTTATTAGTGAAACACCATGAGGTACAGTTATAGACCTATAAATTTTTGTGCTTGGGTTTCAGTTATACAATGATCAAGTACCCATCCCTCCACCAGTGCCAATCCTCCCCCACCACGGGTCCTAGCATCCCTCCCACCCCCCATCCCCCCTCCCCCGTCCCACCCTGCCGCTGTGGCAGGGCATTCCCCCTTGTTCTTTCTCTCTTCTTTTGGGTACTGTGTTTTGCCAGAGAGGCATTGAGTGGCAATCATGTTTGGTCTATAGACTACTTTTAGCATGTCTCTCCCACCCTGGGAGGGTCTTCACAACACCCTTTATTTGGTGCTCTCTTCTCTATCTGAGCTTCCTTTTCACCTAGCACATGTGGCTGGCCTTCAAGTCATGGAGCAAAATTCCTGGTACTAATCTGAGCCATTCCTGGGTGTTAGTCTCCCGTTTTGTTGCTTTATGTTCCCCAGATGAATGCAATCTTTCTGTGTCTATCCCGCTCTTTCTGACTCATTTCGTTTAACATGATACTTTCCATGTAGTACCACTTGTATGTAAATTTCATAACTTCATCTTTTCTAACAGCTACATAGTACTCCATTGTGTAAATGTACCAATCCGAAAGATCAATGAAACCAAGAGCTGGTTCTTCGAGAAAATAAATAAGATAGATAAACCACTAGCAACACTCACAAAGAAACAGAGAGAGAGAGAGCCTTAATAAATCGAATCAGAAATAAGAATGGGGATATCACAACAGAAACTAAAGAAATTCAAGAGATCATCAGAGACTACTTTGAAAGTCTGTATGCCACGAAACAAGAGAACCTAGAAGAAATGGATAAATTCCTGGATTCCTATCATCTCCCAAAGCTGAATCAAGAAGATATAGAGTACTTGAATAGACCTATTCACATCAAGGAAATTGAAACTGTAATCAAAAGTCTTCCCCAAAACAAAAGCCCATATCCAGAGGGATTTACTAGCGAATTTTTCCAAACATTTAAAGAGGACCTATTGCCAGTTCTTCTCAAGCTTTTCCAGGAAATTGAAAAAACGGAAACTCTCCCAAACAGTTTCTACGAAGCCCATATCTCTCTAATACCAAAAGGAAACAAAGACACCACAAGAAAAGAAAACTACAGGCCGATATCCCTGATGAACACAGATGCGAAGATTCTCAACAAAATACTAGCCAATAGAATTCAACAACTCATCAAAAAGATCATACATCATGGCCTAGAATTTTTTTTAAAAAAGACTAAAAATCTCTAAAAATCATTTAAAAAAAGATAAACCAGACTAAATTGTAAACATTAAAAAGCAAATTAAACAGCAAAACAATGACCATAAAATAAAGAATAAAAATTTAAAAAACCCTGAAATCTCCATGCTCTCAGAGTCGGGGATGGGCAACCTCCCCCATCTCCCTGTGCTTTCAGGAGCCTGGCAGTCCCACCCACGAAATGCCTCTGGCCCCATATAGGTTCATTAACGTGCATGATCCAGAGATTCACAAATAAATTTCAGAAGGGATCAATAAGCTGCAGAGATGCCTCTGGACCCCAAAGTCACCATCCAGTTAAGAATTAAACTCCAGCAGTATCACCCTATTTAAAATTTAAATATAATTTGGAGTCAATTAACTCCCATGTTACAAAAGCATAGCATCAACTGTTGTGTCTATACAAAAAGGACATTGCTAAACCATGCAAAGGACAGAAAGGAAAGAGAAAAGCCATATAGGATCATTAGCGCCTGATAGAATTGGGGCACTGTTGTGAGAGTAACTCAATGAATCTAAACTCCCTACAAGAAGAGCAAGGACAACCCAATGTTATTCAACAATAGACAATAAAAGGGGAAAAAAAGAAATGAATTGTACAGTACAATTAAAATGAATTCCTCACATCCATTAGGATAGCTACTATGAAACAAGAAAAAGAAAGTGACAAATATTGGTTGTGTTGTAAGATTAGAAACTTTGTGTACCCTTAAAAGGAGTATAAAATGGTGCAGCTTCTGTGAAGAGAACTATATCAATTCCTGAAAATTTAAAAACAAATACATTATCACCCGGTTCTAGTTTTATGGTCACGGTCACGGTCCTCCCGTTGTTCATCGATTTGCTGGAGCGGGCCCAGTAACGTTTCCATTGGAGACTTTTTTGTTACTGTGTTTGGCATATCGAATACATCAGCGGTAGCTTGCCAGGCTCTGCCAAGCGGGTGAGATACTCTCGGTAGCTTGTCGGGCTCTTCGAGAGGGGCGGAGGAATCGACCTTGGGTTGGCCATGTTGGCCGCTTGTAAGGTAAACACCCTACCACTATGCTATTGCTCCAGCCCAGTTTTATGGTCAAAGAATTGAAAGTAGGATCTCAGAGATATATTTGTAACCATGATAAATATGCTTAGAGCAGTATTATGTGCAAGAACTTAAACATGACAAAACATACCCTACTTCAGCAGAAGAGATCTATACGTAGTACAGTGTAGTTCACACGTAGGTCGGCATTTTATTCAGCCTCAATGAGGATGAAGTTTCTTTCTTTTTTTTTTTTTTTGACTTTGTGGCCACCCATTTGGTGCTCAGGCTTACTCGTGGATCTGTGGTTAGGAGATCATTCCTGTAGAGAACAGGTGAGGCATGGCTAATAACTAAGAATGATTTCTGCTAAATACTGAGTAGAAAATAATAAATTTTCATATTTTCTTTGGTGTGTACAGAACACACTTGTGGTGAGTATTTGATTAAAAAAATGCTATTTAGGAGGAAAAACCAGACCTATTTCCATATAAATGACACATTCCTTTTTCGTATTTCTTTTTCTTTTTATGAGAGTGGGGGTGCACGCCCAGAGGTCCTCCGGGCTTACTCCAGTTCTTCGCTCAGGGCTTGGGGGGACCATTTGTGGTGCTAGAGATCAAATATGGGTCAGCTGCATGTAAGGCAAACACCCTACCTTCTGTATTATCCCTTCAGCCTCTCTTTTCTTTTTTGTTAAGGTAACATTATTAGTGAGTATGTATGATAATCTAACTTTATGGCTCTTCAAAGTATGTTACGAAGCCAGAATCACCACCACCGTATCAATATCTTTCCACCATAGTTCATTAGACACCCCTCTCCATTCTATCTCCTCTTCCCCTTCTTCTCTGGCAACCAGAGTTCTGTGGTCAGAGTTTATAGGTTTGATTTATTTTATTTATGTAGGAGTATACTGCTATTTATTCAGCCACTGATTAGCTGATTGAATTGGGCATGAACTCCACCTTACTTTTTTTTCATTTTTTATAATTTTATTTATTGAATCACTATGAGAACAGTTACAAAGCTTTCGGGCTTAAGTCTCCTTCATACAGTGAAATACCCATAGCTTCACCAATGCCCATTCTCCACCTCCAAAAACCCCAGTGTACCCCCATCCCACAGCTTCCCCCACCTGTGGGGCAGATGATTTCCACATTACTCTCTCTCTCTCTACTTTGATCATATTCAATATTTTGACACCAGACCCACCATTGTTATTTGGGATTTTACCCCAACACTTAGATCTGCTGAAAAGGCAATGGTAGACTATTTGTTTTCTATTGCTGGTAATGAATAACATATGATGTTGCGTGGCTGCAGTAGTGGCCACGTGATTTTGAAATTCTGACATTTTAACACTTAAATCTGGAGGTATTTCTGCCAAAACCTGCTGGGTTCCAAGATTTGTTCCTGAGTTTCTTGGATCATGGCCATTAAGCAGCTTGATCAGGAGCCAGAAAGGCCATTTGCAGATGGCGACTCAGGGTCTCATTGGGATGGGGAGGTAAGGGCCAGCTCCACCCCCATCCTGTGAGGCCCCGCGTGTCTCGCCACTGAGGACCCAAATCTGACTGTCTAGTGTCCTCTGGAGGATGGCAGCCACCGGGTCGCCTAGGGGGAGCAGGCGGAAGGACAACACCCTTTCCCCCCTGGGGTGGCCCGGGGACAGTAACCTACTGTGGGTCCAGATGCATTTCTGCCAAAAGCCTGTGGGTTTTGTGATTTGTTTCTGAGTCTCTGGGATCATGACCGTTAAGCAGTTTGATCAGGAACCAGAGAGGCCATGCCTTCAATTATATAGCTGAGCCCAAGGTGGTTTGTGGGTGTCTTCCCACATTCCTAACTTTTGGCCGTTTACTTTCTTGGTAAACTTTGCCCCAAGTTTTTGGGGTCTGACCAAAGGCACAGCAGCAATTTTGGGGTATCTGGAAGTCTGAAGGCACCATCAGGCTGCTGATGCACTCACCTCACAGGTACAGATTGACCTACTGGTGGCACCATACCCCCAGGTTTGTATTTTTTTAAGTTTTATTTTTATGTACTTTTTATTTTTCGAATTTTTTTTAAATGAATCACTGTAAGGTACAGTTACAGACTTACAGACTTTCATGCTTACATTTCATTCATGCAATTATCAAGTACCCATCCCTCCACCAGTGCCCATTCTCCACCACCAGTGTTCCCAGTAGCCCTCCAACCACCCCCACCCCATCCTCCCCCCTCTGTCTCTGTGACTGGTGCATTCCCCTGTACTCTCTCTCTCTCCTTTAGGGTGTTATGGTTTGCAATAGGGCTATTAAGTGGCCATCATGTTAGGTCTATAGTCTACTTTCAGCATACATTTCCCATCCCAAGTGGGCACACTTTACTTGGTGGTCCCTTCCCATAGGTTTGAATTTTATTGGTTTTGCTACTACCATACTTTACTTCCTTGTATCTGCATATGAATGAGATAATCAGACTTCTTTATTGTCATATCAAATAAATGATAATTTATCCCAAAAATCCACTGTTGTTTCTTCTTTTTCCCCCTCTCAAGGTGATGAGACACCCAGATCATGTTTCGTCCACTGTCTATCTCTGGGCTCACCATGAGAAACTTGTTATTATCGACCAATCAGTGGCTTTTGTTGGTGGAATCGATCTGGCCTATGGAAGGTGGGATGACAACGAGCACAGACTCACAGATGTGGGTAGCGTGAAACGTGTCAATGCCTCCATGGGATCCAACCAGTTACTCACAGTAAGTAACTCTCACTCTACAAACTACATAGCATGGACATAAGTTGCATAGAAGTGTCTCAGCAGCATGGCTCCTGGATTGAATGAGAGCCAGCATATCGCTGAAGCAGTAACACTGACTCAAACATCAGAGACCGGCTTTCAAATAGTACTTCACCACTAGCTAGACTATGACTTTGCTTCTTAGTCTCCCTTTTTTCTCTTTGAAAAATAAAAAACTTGAGCCCAAGTGATAGTATCCAGTAGAGCGCTTGCTCTGGACACATGCACTTGACCTGGATTTGATCCCAGGCACCGCATATGGTCCCCAAAGCCCTGTCAGGAGTAATCCCTGAGTACAACCCATGTGGCCACCCAAAAAACAAAAATAATTTAAAAAATTTTTATTAGTTAATAAAAGCAAAACAGAAAACAGATTCAATAAAGCATTTGCTATCTTATCATTAACTACTTTGATTTCTATTTAAATAGAAACGGGCTGGAGCGATAGCACAGCGGTAGGGCGTTCGCCTTACAAGCGGCCAACATGGCCGACCCGAGTTCGATTCCTCCGCCCCTCTCGGAGAGCCCGGCAAGCTACCGAGAGTATTGGATATGCCAGACACAGTAACAACAAAGTCTCCAATGGAGACGTTACTGGGCCCGCTCGAGCAAATCGACGATCAACGGGAGGGCCTTTACCTTATTTAAACTCAGGATTTATATCCTATTTTAAAAAAGCTCATAAAATAAAAATTTGTGGCACTTGGGATTTAAATTAAAAACAATAAGCAGTGTCATTACAAATAACTGTCACAGTCTTGTGAATCTTTCTACTTAAAATTATTCAGAAATAGATCATTCTGTGATCATTTATGGAATTCTGCTTGAAAGCAGGAGGCTAATAACTTTTCTCAAAATAACTTTCAAGTCATAAATTGTGAAAATATCCATATGCCTATATCCATGTACTCATTATTTCCACTCAAATAGCTGCCAAATATCAATACACTTTTTAAAATTTTGATGGACTTCATCTGGCTTACTGCTGGATCTGATGGAGGCATTCCTTTTCTTTATTTTCTTCTTTCTCTTCCTCCTCTTCTTCTTTCTCCTCCTCCCCTTCTCCTCCCCTCCTCCTTTCTTCTTCTCCTCCTCCTCCTCTCATCCTCCTCCTCCTCCTCTCCTCCTCCTCCTCCTCCTCATCTTCTTCTTCTTCTTCTTCTTCTTCTTCTTCTTCTTCTTCTTCTTCTTCTTCTTCTTCTTCTTCTCCTCCTCCTCCTCCTCCTCCTCCTCCTCCTCTTCCTCCCCCTCCTCCTCCTCCTTCTCCTTCCTCTCCTCCTCCTCATCTCCTACCCTCTTCCTCTCCCCCTCCTCCTTTCCCTCCTCCTTATCCTCCTCCTCCTCTTGTGTCTTCTTCCTTTCTTTTTTGCTTAGCTGTACTTGGCAGTGTTCAGGCTCAGGGATCTTATGTGGTGCTGGGAATCATACTGGGCTTGGCTGCATATAAGACAAGTGCTATCGAGGCTCTGTACTGTCTCTCTAGCCTCATGAATCTGGTAGTGACTTTCCTGAAAATAAATTAATTAATTAATTTAAATAAATAAAATAAACAGCTCTACAGTGGCTGAAAAGATAGTAGAATGAACAGAGCACTTGCCTTTCATGTAGCAGACTTTAGTTTGGTCCCTGGTACTTCATATGGCCCTCTGAGTCCTATCAGGAGTGAACCCTGAGCACAGTGCCAGGTGTAAACCTTCAGCACTGGCAGATATAGCCTCCAAACCAAATTAAATAGACAAAAACTGTTCTTTACTGAATCTGTATGAGTGAAAGGAAAGGACATAAAGAGATTGCTTACTGTTTACAAGAGGGAAGAGTTCATCAGTTCAACAGTGTATAACTCATGTCATTAGACTTGAGATAAAGGTTGATTGGTATGAAATTTCATAAATTTGGCCCAATGATAGAGGAAATCCACCTGAATGCCTGGTATCCATTTGGTGCTATATTCACAGCTCATCAATCACCCCCTGCTGGTGGAACTTACCTGGCGCACTCTGTGTCTGTAGCCGGCACATCTTAGCCTGCCCTCAAAGAATTATAAGACAGTGTATCTTACGTAGTCTTTCTTTTTTTTTAAAAAAAAAATAACTTTCTCAGGTGGAAGCGGTAGAGTCTATGGACTCTCTCAACCTCAAAGACAAAAACGAATCCAGTAAGAGACCACCTGTGCTGAAGAGTGTTGATAATACGGATTCAAAGCTGAAAGGAATAGGAAAGCCCAGTAAATTCTCGAAATTCAGCCTCTACAAGCAGTTGCACAGACACCAGCTGAACCACGCCGACAGCCTCAGCAGCATCGACAGCACCTCCAGTAAGTCTCTGTGCCTCTGAGGATGTGTCTGTTTCTCCAGAGCCAGGCACCATGTAATCTACTTCAGAAGGCACTTTCTCTCTACTGGAATGAAAGAGCACTGCCAAAAGGTTGCCTGAGCATCCTGTTCAATGTCATGGCATTTCAGTGGTTTTGCCTCATTTTAGAACAGATTTACTGTTTTATTCACACAAACTAGTCAGAACAACCACAGTTTAGGCTTTTGATGGTTTCAAGATGACTACATATTTCTAAAATAATGCCACGTTATAAAGGTAAAAGTATTAGATATACTTCATCTACTTGGCATAGATGAAATCTCATTTCTCTTCTCAACCAGAAATACATCAAATTTTATCCTCAACAGCAGATTTTCTATATATTGTCAATTTGCTCTTCTTTTCAAATCTGTCTTAAAGCCCTGCAATTTTCTGTAGTGTAGCATTTGTGACTGATTTTTCAGCCTTGCCTAGTTTTTAAAATGATTGAACCTATTTTTCAGCTTAGAAAACCTGATATAATTTTTTTTGTTAAAAAAAAGAATTCTCAACTTTCTCTAGATTATTGTAATCACTGTAGGAGTCATCAGAATTTAATCCATGGTTTCAAACCCCACTTGAAATTCTTCCACTCTTCTAGCAACTCTGAGCAGAGGCTCACTAGAGCTCATTTTGGTAAGTGATGTGTGAGGCACGGGACTCGCCGTAGGCTTCAGCTTCTGCTGCATGAGCCTAGTGAATGTGTTTCTGGGTTGCTGCCTATTTTCTGTGCCGCATGTCATATTAGGAGTAAAGTTTTGGCTACTGTTAAAGATTCCTACTCCCCCCAAATATACTTTGCAACAACAAAGATCCAACATAGCCAGCTATTCAATGGTGCATGCACATCAGATGCAGTGCTGAACAGTTCTGTAGACAGTGGGACACAATAATCAACCAAAGCTTCCGTGAGAAGGCAACATCTGAGTTAGGTTTGGTAATTTTTTTTTTTTTTTGCTTTTTGGGTCACACCCGGCAATGCTCAGGGGTTACTCCTGGCTCTGCACTCAGAAATTACTCTTGATGGTGCTCGGGGGTTGATATGGGATGCTGGGAATAGAACCTGGGTCCGTTGTGTGCAAGGCAAATGCCCTACCCACTGTGCTATGGCTCCAGTCCCAGGTTTGGAGCGATAGCGATTTTTTTCTTTTTGGGTCACACCCAGAGATGCACAGGGGTTACTCTTGGCTCTGCAGTCAGGAATTACCCCTGACAGTGCTCAGGGGACCATATAGGATGCTGGAAATCAAACCCAGGTCAACAACGTGCAAGGCAAATGCCCTACCCGCTGTGCTATTACTCCAGCCCCTGGTAATCTTTTGATTAGAATTGGTCAATAGTAAGACGTTGCAGGTGAAGAAAGTGAGATGAGAAAAGATACTGGATTGGAAAATACCAAATACTTCTCCATATTAGAAAATACCTCATTTAGCTGTGGAATGCTCTTTGAGTCATTCTGCTTGGCAAAATACCAGGAAGTTATAAACAATCACATTGGACTCAAATGAGTTGGAACTTTATTTAGTTAGGAATCTTTGAATAGAGTAAAAATCATACTCTAAATGTGAACTTTTAGAAAATAAAAACCTCAGAGGGTTTTGTAAGAAAAAGTAGATATATGAGGAACAAGTGAATTTATCCCTAAATTATAATGGTGGGAATAAAGGGGAACTTGACAACAGATTAGATACAGAGACAAATCATCATCATCATAAATAATACCCATAATAAAAATTTATACAAATCATCATCATCATAAATAATACCCATAATAAAAATTTATCAGGTAGCAGTTATCATATGCAGACTATGTCCAGCAAAGGAGCACCTTCTCGCCTGGTAAAGTTCGTGATTCAGATTTGTGTGTTAGCAGATATGTAGTCTAATATATCCTAGTGTTTTGGCTACATTCCCAAGGCTATGGTTCTAGTGTACCATTTAGGAAATAACTGAGTTAAAGTACTGCTAATGATACTGGAAGTAAGTCATTTGGAGCTAAGAAGCTGGTAAATCAAGATGGACCTTGAGTCATAGTTTCCAGCAATATTTACTATGAGAACTTTATGTTCTTTAAAATTTACTGATTAACCGTATACAATAAAACCAAATTCCAATATAATGGCGAAGCAAATGTTTATCTTGTAGTCATGACGCCATTTATTTCAGTTAGAGACTATGTATAGGGAGATATTTTATATATAATTAACACGTAACAAGTATTTGCTGTGTATTTTCAAGTCAGGAGCAATTCTTAGTAATTCCTATGCCTGGTGCACTCTTTAATTCCTGAGAATTTGAGAAAATTCTCCAGAAAAGCTGAAGGTTTCAGGGAAGTTCAGTGAGCCAGAACAAGGATCAGTGCAAGCACAGATATTAAAGACAAAATGCTGGATACAAGGTTGGAATTTCAGTGGGTGCCTTTGCTGCTTTAAGAGTAAAGTTTAAAATAAGGTGGAGAAATGAAGCTTTGAAATCACGGAGTTTAGTGGCCTGAGTTATCACAGTGTTAAGTTTTCCAGGGAGCAAATGGATAAGAAGCAAGCCAGGTGCTGAATATGTTAAGTAACTCAGGTTAGCATCAGTCTGAGAGAAGAAATACTGAGTATTGACAGAACTCGATAATCAGTAATGCTCTGAGGTATTGATGTGGAAGTGGATGATCTCTTCCTATTAAGTTGGATGGGTGTGTGTCAGTGCAGTGCTGTTTATTGAGGAAAACTAGAAAGTAATCTAAAAATCTAAGAAAAAAGGAAATGATGAGTAACATGAATGGTTCCTTTCCTTTATGTCACTGTGTAGCTATTTGAAATTCTTTTTATTTTAGGGGGACCACGGGGTGTTATGGGCTCTTGTTCAGTGCAAGGGCTAAGGATGCAATGCTGCGAGGGTCCTGAGGTATCAGGATCAATCTGTCCTTGGTGAAGGTACATTGGGAAAACACAGTCTGGAACCTAAGCCAGCCCAGAGGTGTGAAGGCCGTTGAAATACTGAACCCTTCTGAGGAGCCGAGAAAGTGTTTGAGATGCAAAACTCTAGGCCCAGAGTGTGCCTCTAAGAGCAGCTTTCGAAGTAAAGGCCATGCTGAGAATCTCAAAGAAAAGCATTAACCGATCCAAGTTCTTGCCCTTGATGACCCTTAGTGAGAGACTTTGGATGGAGGCAGTTTGAAAAAATTGTATGCAGACCCACTTTCTAGATGTAGAAGCATGCATTTCCCCAATCTGTGACTGCCCACATCTCATCCTGAGATGTATAATTCATTTTTTACTTTATGGAATACATTTTACATCTGGGGAATTCATCTGGGGCTCTGCTAGTTGCATTCTGCTCTCTCCACTCTGGAGATATCCACATTTTCTCTTGAGTACTTAATTTTCTCTCCCTTTTTATTTTCTAAATAAACATCTTACTTCACTATTTATCTCACTCCTGAAATTCTTTTTTTATGGAGGTGGACAACAAAATCAAGAAAAAATGCCTGGGTAGAGGTAGGAAGGGTTTTCTTTTCCTGCAAGGAGCAGATTCCTCACTCTAGCCTGTGGTCGCAACTAACTCCTCAAGAAACTGAGACCACAGATCAGATCACAGATTATCCTGTTATTCGTCGATTGCCTCGAGCAGGCCCCAGTAACGTCTCCTTCATCCTAGCCCTGAGATTATATTCAAGGCTCTTTAGGAGAATGAGACCCATCATTGTTACTGGTATTTGGCATATTGGGTACGCCACGGGGAGTTTGCCAGTCTCTGCCGTGTGGGCAGGCTACATTCGGTAGCCTGCCAGTTTGTCAAAGTAGGAATGAGATGTCATAATAAGATGTCGTGCGGCCGCAAATGCGGCCACACGGTTCCGGGAGCTGGTTTTTATAGTCTCAGAGTCTTGGCCGCTGATGTGATTACACGGCGCCAGGGGGCCAGGTGGTGGGTGTGACCCCCGCCTACTGGAATTTGGAGGATCTGGGTGGAGGATGCTCGACTCCAATCCGAGTAGGCTTGTAGATCTCGGCCCCGGAGGGTGGAGTTAAATTCCAGCAATCCATGAAGGTCAGGTTTAATTTGACAACTGCTGCGTGGAGCTGGTGAGATGTAAGATCTGTGCTACGTAGGTGCTCACTTTATCAGTCCTGCTTGACTTTGAGTCACCAGCAACATAATGACTTAATTCCTGTATTAAAATCTCCATGTCTTATTAGAAATTCTTAGTGTGTGCACAAGTGTATGTGTGTGTGTGTGGGGGGGGGGGGGTGATTGCTGAAATAGAGTACAGGGATGAAGGTGCTTGTTTTGCATGCCAGTTGACCCCAGCTTAACCCTGGTAATCATTGTTCCCCGAAGCAGTCCCAGGAATGATGACTGAATACAGAGCCAAGAGTAAGAAGAAACCCTTGAACAATGCTGGATGTCCCTTCCCCAAACACAGAACAAACAAACAACCTCCCCCCAAAATTTAAGAATATTAAAAAATATATATCTTTAATGAGACAAAAGTAAATATTCATTAAATACGTATTGTTTGAGCTTCCATAAATACCAGTAACTACCTAGATATCAGGGATATAATGAACAAAACAATTAACTAATGAAATTACTTAACTTGGTAGAGAACAGTAACAACAAGTCTCACAATGGAGACATTACTGGTGCCCTGTAGCACTGTAGCGCTGTCCTCCTGTTTGTCATTGATTTGCTAAAGTGGGCATCAGTAACGTCTCCATTGTGAGACTTGTTACTGTTTTTGGCATATGGAATACCACAGGAGCTTGCCAGGCTATACCGTGTGGCCGGGATACTCTCAGTAGTTTGCAGAGCACTCCGAGAGGGATGGAGGAATCAAATCTGGTCGGCTGTGTGCAAAGCAAATGCCCTGCCCACACATTAGAGTAAGGTTATAAATTGTTTGTATAGATTCTTAAAAAATGTTAAATGGTAAGGACTATCATGGGGAAAAGTGAAGCAGATGAAGGGCAGAAAGAGGGGAGGGATCATTTCTTTATTTCAGATGGTTAGAGAATGCTGATGCAGGAATGGTGACAGTGAGTCTGATTCCAGAATTTCCAGGTCCTTCAATATTTTCAATGGTGAAAATATTGAATATTATAGATGCTCAAACTCAGATTTAGGCGCTAGATCATTTTATTGGAAAGTGGAAGAGAGAGGAACAGAAACTCCCCATGTGGGGAGGTACTTTGATAAGACTAAGTTAACTATGACTCATTTTTTTTTAAATTTTCATAAGAAGCTGGAGGATAGCACAGCAGTAGAGCATTTGCCTTGCATGCAGCCAACATGGCCGACCCGAGTTCGATTCCTCCGCCCCTCTTGGAGAGCCCGGCAAGCTACCGAGAGTATCTCGCCCACGCGGCAGAGCCTGGCAAGCTCCCCGTGACGTATTCGATATGCCAGACACAGTAACAACAAAGTCTCCAATGGAGACGTTACTGGGCCCGCTCGAGCAAATCAATGAAAAACGGGAGGGCCTGTACTTTAATAAGAAGACTGGTTCTTTGTATTTTAGAGTGCAGAAAGTTAAAGATAAGTTTTTATGTGTAGTCCCCTTTAAATGAAAATTGGAAATTTTAAAAAAATGCATTTCTTATGAATTGACAAGAATGTTACAGAGAATATAAGGATCAAACACA